GTAATGCGTCATCCTTACCTTGTCAATCAGATGAAACTTGAGAATGATCGACATACTGTGCCAGTTGGCAAGAGACAGTGGCAGCAGCAATGGTTCTTGTCCTCGTTAACGATGAAGAGAAAGAGAGAATAGGTGGTGTAGATGATCGGCACACTGTGCCAGTTGGCGAGAGACAGTGGCAGCAGTAATGGTTCTTGTCCTCGTTGACGATGAAGAGAGAGGGAGAACAGGTGATTGAATGAACAGAATGAGAAGAGTGAAAGAAGAGATGAGAGGGAAGGGATAAGAGAAGAAGAAAGAAGAGGGAGGGGGAGCGGAGAAAATAAGGGAAAGAGAAGTCAGATGAGGAAGGTGCCTAGGTGATATTTCCTGCCTAGTGAATTAAGGAAGGAGCAGAGGGGACTCTAGGACAAGCCACTTCTAAGAGATGCTACTCCTTAGTACTGCATATAATCTGATTCATTCAGTATGCCAAAAGAAATAAACATAAGCAAGTTGATAATTTCCACCATATATAATGCATGGTACTCGACACTGATGATTCTTCCCGGACTGGAGACTCATCTTTTCGAAATCGATAAGCGAGTAGGATTTGGATATCTCTCCCAAGACGCTTTGAATGAAAGTGGTGAACGTGAAGATAGATCAGTTGTGTTGATACTATGGCGAGACTGGCTCATTGCCTGTTTTTTTCTAATTAGCATTGAAGGTCTCTAATTTAATTTATATCCAACAAATTCATTTTTTATTTATTTTTGCGCTTATCATCACGGCTTTGAAGATGTAGACAAAGTACCAGCTTCCACAAGCGATTTTACAAAGGCCACAACTGCCCGGATTGCAATCCCAGCAATTTTGTCACCATCTCCAGCATTGGGATCAAACGAACACACAGTGAGGGACTTGGGCGTAGCCTTTTGCGGCACGAGACCCATACAAGCCACCAATTTCTCTTCGAACATACCACCCGGTGAGGGATAGTCATTGACTTTACCATAAGACTCATCAAGCACGTCTAGGTCAAGATGCACAAGAGCTGGACTATGAGAGCCCGACTCCAAATGTTTCTTCAGCTCAGCAGTGAAATCCACCTTCCGCTCGGTTTCACCCCATATGGAGGTCATTCAATGACTCTCTGTCGCTGAATCTCACTTTGATCGTGTAGACCGCAGTAGAGGAATCGTCGGTAGGTCATGGGGTGATATCCAGGTACGGTGTTGATCAAGGTTTTCCAGCTCTCTCCACGCAGCATGGACAGACCCATCGCATCGAAATATCCGTTCTCGTTCATATCGGGTGAATTAAGGTCATCGTGTGCATCGAAGTATATGAAGCCGAGGTCTTTGGTATTCAGGCCACATGCAGCGCCGACACTTGCCATACAATTCCCGGACAGGATCAACGGGAAGGTATTTTGGGCTACTGCTTCGGTGACGGCAGTTGAGATTCGGCGCAGTAACTCAAAGCTACGGCCGATCTCGCCTTCAAACTCGTCTACCGAGTCGATTTCGTGGAAAATGATTTTGACACCTAGCTTTTCGAGCGCTTGGGTGATTCCGAGGGACCGAATTCGGTTGGGGCCGTTGCCGACTCGGTGGTCGCGAGCTCCGACGTGGTATGGAGAGAAAATGATGGTGATCGAGTTTCTTAGTATAATTTATTGGTTTTAAGAAGCCTTGTATCTTTCTCCTAAATTAAGTCCTCTTCTTTATAGGTTCTAGGGGTATAACTATTCTTTTCCTACTGTAGATAGCGCCTCTCTTTTGTAAGTTTATCTAGGCCTTGACAAGTGCAGCGGTACCGGTGCAACGGTACTAGTGCAACGGCTGCACCAAGGCCTTAGTTCGGTGCAGCGGTACTTTGGCTGC